CGTCACCAACAACGGTTAATACTTGACGCGACAACATTGTCAAAGTCTCAGCAGTGTCCAAGGTACGGCGAGACGGGTGAATGTCCGACCGTTCTGGAGTGAAAGCCGACATTATCAGTTTAGGAATGAATCATGCAGAAGTTCATACCATTATCAATCGTTTTGGATGCTTCATTATCCAAATCCGACTGATATAAAGTCCCCTCTGAGCTGGCAGAATCTGGCCTCTTGTCCTAGAAAGGCTATATCAATCTTACTTATTATAAGGTGAATACAGTGTAAAGTCCGCTCTATAAGAGTCACGGTTACTGGTGTGCCCACAACAAGCATCAAGCTATGATGCTTTTATGTTCCGCCTGACATGAAGAGCTGCTATTAGCGTCGCACTTTCACGCGGCTACAAACGACAGGGCATCCTCAAATCAATCGCGCAGGAATAGGATATGTATGGAAGCGTAAAATCTTAAAAAGTGGTATTCAAAGCAAATTAGCCAACACAAGCGTCTGATCATCACTGATTACACGCGTTTGCTGAACTAAGTAAGTGCAGCCACGATCACTTCCGTCTAACGCCGCAAAATCCTTTTTGACAAATGGTCGAGCTCTAATGAGATCATTTAATAACAGGAATTTTCACCTCTTCTTCATCAAAATGAGAAAGTGAGTCCTCATACACAGTGGACTGCGAACAAGTTCGATTGATTCCAACATCAGTATAATCCTAAAAACGAGCACTTTTCTCTACATAAATTCGGTTCACTAGAGGATCGAATCACCTCAGAGCTGGGATTCTGTAGATTTCCCAAGATTTCCGGCATCGAAGAGATGGCCTTCTCTTCATCTGCCGAAACTTCCTTTGGGGACAGTTGACTGAGATCTAGGGGTTCTACTCCTGCTCGGCGAGGAGTGGGTGTTTGCAGTTTTTCTAGAACATACTTGTCATCATTACTTCTTAAAGGAAAAAATGTCCTCAATAATGAAGTATTTCCCACCAGCGTTTTCTTTCGAGGAAATCTCATCCAGTTTGCTCAATAACGTCGTCCTTTCGGAAATTACTCGATCATACTGCATAATCTGCGCCGCTATGGACTTCTTTGTCCTACAATAATCTTCACACTAATATATGAACAGGGTAAGTGTTCAATGAATTACTTCTACATACTTCTCGCCTATTTCAAGGCACAGCCTATTGAGAAATGGTAATTCTGAGAATTTTTGTTCCAACTTGGGACACTTTCAAAAGGAACCTGATTTTTCCGGATTAGTACTATTATGAGAAAACCTGACTACTATACTGTCATTTAATTTTAAAAGGCCAACTTGTGAGATGCAAAGATCCTCAGCGAAATGACCTAAACACTTTGAATTGCTAGTAGTTTCTATGTCACGCATTGATTGCAATAAAATATATACTCAGAAAGAAATTACTGGTTTTCAATATCTCTTGTTCTTTCCTCGAAACTCCTATTCAACATTTCAGCCTGCTCGCGTCGGGCGTCCAAATTACGGCGCAAAGATCGAGCGCTAAGATTCCACATATCGCATTCGACTAAATGAGAGCAAAGAGGTTGTACATAACAATGATTAAATTCCAAACTGACCACTCTCATTCAACCCCTTTGTATCCATCCTCACAGGAGAATGGTCATTGCCAGAAGAAGAAGCCGGAATATTCAGACTCGCCGATTCAGCAATGCTAGACGTCCCAAAGATTTTTCCAATTTTCTCGCGCAGATTTATGTACATTCGAAACATATAAACTTACTTATTCACCTGTGCAGAGGCTTGAGCTTTAAGCAAACGTTTTATCGTGTTGCTGCAATCCTCGCTGTCATCATAGACTTTTTTCTGCTGACGTGCAACCAGTTGCAAAAATTCACTCTAAATTTTGGATATAAAAAACTTAACAAAGCTTTTGTCACAGGAGTAAGTAGGTTTTCTGACTTGCGAAACCCTCTTCCTTAGCCATGACTTTGCTTGAAAGATAGCCTGTTTGTACTCGTTATCTGCGGCTACGGACAAGTCGTCAATCATGATATTCTGCTCGAAAGTAGAAGTAAACCTTAAAAGAAAAAACCTTAACCTCGTAGTAGACAAAATTAAATGAAAATTCACCTCTTTTTTAGCTTATATACCGCATGTTGCAGAGTGCGAAGAACACTACACATGCGCAGGTATTCCTCTAATTTTTTCTTTCGTTCTTGTAGTTGTTCTAAAGCAGTAGATGAAGCAACATGAACAGAACAGATAAAAAGTAAGTATAAAAAAGTACCTGCGTTCAACCATGCGTTCTTTTCCAAAGCAAACACGACTTTAGGGCGCACGTTTGCCGTCGCGTTTTTCTGTGCAACAGTTCCATGTGTCATACTAAAAGAAGTAAGGTAAATTAGGACGTAACGAAAAAGGAAATTCAGGAAGTAAACGACCCTGCAGCGCTAAAATGTGATCTAGCATAGACATAGATCGACTGGGTCATACTGATTCAATAGATCACACTTGCTCTTTAGACATGGTGCAAGTTTGAC